ACCTCAGGCTTTTACAGCTCCTCCGCGCTTCCTTCTGGTTTTCTCCTTGCTTCTCGTTGTAGAATTTCCAGTCAGTCGACTTTCCTGTAGTTCTGGGTAATGTCCATTTTATATTTTAGTTGTATTTTATTGAAATTGTTGTGTGCAACTGCGGCTAGGTGTTTACCTGTGCAGCCATCTTGGATTCTCCAGATTGAAGGCTTTTCTACGAGAACAGAAAAAGCTACTAAAAGAAATAAATCTTACCCAGGTTTGGACTACCAAAAACCTTACAGAGTGACAAAGGGCCCTCTTTCATAACTGAGATTACACAACGGCTGGCTCAAGCTTTAGGAATCAGCTATCACTTACACTAATTATGGCGACCTTAATCCTCAGATAAGGTACAAAAAGCTAACCAAACCCTAAAAGGGACTCTAGCCAAGCTATGCCAAGAACTTCAGGGTGTCTGCAAACCTGGGTGCCTATGTTACCCATAGGCCTCGTGCAAATGAGAGCTGCACCTAAAGAAAATCACAAGTTAGTCCCTTTGAGCTTGTGATCCTATATGATAAAAGGCTAATATGCAAATCGACTGAACAGAGGAACCACCGGTCACTATGATGTGCACTGACCACCAGGGGGCAGACGCTCAACACAGTGTCTGGGTTGTAAACTCGGTCCCCATTGGGGCTCGTGCAGGAGGCAGCCAGCTGATGGATGTTTGAGCTCTCTCATAAAGGTTTCTCTCCCTTCCTCTCTCTGAAATCAATAAAAGCATTCTGTGCTGAGTCCCTCCCAGGCTGTCTTTCCTCTCACGTACCCTGTCCTAAGCAAAGTTCAAGGTCAAATGCCTTCCTCCGGGACCTAGCTCCAGGACCTAGCTCCCTCTGCAGGCACACAGACTCTCAGGACACAGGCCCTCCTCCCATGCCTCCCCCTGTGGTGTCTCCCCAGTGTGAGTGAGCCATGCTCAAGGCCACCAGAAAGGCCAGGACAGCCCGCACAGCTGGTGCAGGAACACGCTGGCCTTGATGTTGCTGGGGGTAGGGGGGGAAACCGCAGGGTGGAAAGAATCCTGGACTCCTGGACATGTTCTTGCCTGGGGCCCAGCCCGCCTCTTGCCTCTCAGGCTCACAGGCCCAGCCCAGCCTGAGGAGGTAGCCGGGGGGGAAGGCATTTGACCTTGAACTTTGCTTAGGACAGGGTGCACAGCTAAAGGACTGTGACTGAGGCACGTGAGAGGAAAGACAGCCCACCCACCACTGGGATGCAAGCTTCCTCGAGGGTCCCAGCAGGCCTGTCATCTACACAGGCGCAGAGGGTGGCCTGGGAGGGTCTCAGCACAGAGCAGGTGGGGTGAGGGGTTCCTCCTGCTGGTCAGTTCCTGCTACACCCCTCTCTCCTCTCCCCTCTGCTTATTGTGTGGCACAAGCTTTCCTAGACTCCTCATCCCCAGGCACCCCCTCTGGCCGGCCTGGATAAGGGGGAAGGAGGGGCCATTAACAGGCAGGCAGGCCCAGTCTCTGAGCCCTCTGGTGGCCAACCTCCAAGGCTGTAATATCCTGGCCCTGCCCACAGGCCTAGTCTGAGGTCAAAGGTTGGTCCAGAGACCTGAGAAGGGCCCTAGGATACCAGTCCAGTTGGAACGGTCCTGACCAATGGGAGGGGAGGAGGCACAGATCAAGCAGGGCTGTAGGGGTGTGAGGTGAGAGACCCTGAGCCCGGGGAGCAGGGGGAACTGAGGAGGGATGAAGCCCAGGTGGTAGGGGCAGCTGCCAGCCTCACTGCTCCCAACAGTGAACACAACTGTGAACACAAGACTCTCCCTGGCTTGGGTGACAAAGGTTGGCATCCAAGGGGCATGGGATGGGCCCAGCCAGAGCCCCCCCCAAACTCAGCTTCTTTCTCTTGAACCGGCAGGAACCCCAGTCAGCTCTGCAAAGTCTGCTGCCCCATCCCCACCTCCCTGGCTTTCCTCTGTGCGGAGAGACTGTTCAAGGACATCACTGGCTGAAACCGGTTTGGCTCAGTGGTAGAGGGTCGGCCTGCGGACCGAAGGGTCCCAATTAGATTCCGGTCAAGAATCTAATTGCGGCACATCCCCAGTAGAGGGTGTGCAAGAGGCAGCGGATCGGTGATTCTCTCTCATTGATGTTTCTAGCTCTCTATCCCTCTCTCTTCCTCTCTTCCTCTCTGTAAAAAAATCAATAAAATATATTAAAAATAAAAACAAGAAAACGCCGAAGCCGGTTTGGCTCAGTGGAAGAGCGTCGGCCGGTTTGGCTCAGTGGAAGGGTCCCGGGTTCGATTCCGGTCAGGGGTACGTACATTGGTTGCGGTCACATCCCCAGGGGGTAGTGTGCAGGAGGCAGCTAGGTCGATGTTTCTCTCTCATCGACGTTTCTAACTCTCTATCCCTCTCAATTCCTCTCTGTGTAAAATTAATAAAATATATTTAAAAAAAAAACAAAAACAAGAAAACGACATCACTGGTGCGGACTCTCAAATTACATCTGCCTCCATCAAAGAGGGAAGCAGCAAGGCCCTGGACGAAGACCTAAGGTCAAGACCAGAGGGAGGTATGCAGTGTGGGCACTCCTGGGGTCCGCCCAGAGTCTGACTCACATCCACGATGCTGCAGAAAACGTGTGCTCACATAAGCTCTGGTGTTCTCTCATGCGCTCACACGCATTCACACAAGCTCGATCATGCACACATACACACACTGCAGCAAAGGCTGCCACTGCTTCTGTGCCAGGTTCAGAGCTTGGCGGGTGCTGAGGGCAGATGTTGGCTCACAGCATCCAGCCTAAAGGGGCGGATGTGGCAGGTAGTTACCAACCTGAGATCAGTGCCATTAAACAGCCATCGCTGCTGGGCATTTGGGCAGTGCCTTACAGCAGCCCATATGACACGGGGGACGCAGGCAGATGGGCCAGTCTCCGGTTCCTCCCCTCTGAATGGACATCGGGCGAGAGGAAAACTTACTTTCCTATATTTATTATAATGCCTGACACCAAATGTACAGGTGTTCCTCACCAAGTACTTCTCCAGTTCTCTGCAGACACCAACTGGTTATCCTGTAACTTAATTCTGACACTAACTGCCCGGCCTTAGGGCAGACCCGTAGCCTAAGGGCTCAGTCCCACATGACCGCCCAATTTCAGACCCAAGTCACAAGTCCAGGATGCCAGCTATAGATTGGGGTTCCCATGACTGACCTCCTTGGATTCCATAATTAGGAAGGCTCACGGAACTTAGGGACATGCTTTATATATGTTCACTGGTTTACTATAAAGAATACAGGCAGTATGTGGAGGCCGGTTTGGTTCAGTGGTGAAGCGTCAGTCTGAGGACTGAGGGGTCCCGGGTTCGATTCCAGTCAGGGGCATGTACGTTGGTTGCAGGCACATCCCCAGTAGGGGGTGTGCAAGAGGCAGCTGATCAATGATTCTCTCTCATTGATGTTTCTAACTCTCTATCCCTCTTCTTTCCTCTCTGTAAAAAAAATCAATAAAATATATTAAAAAGAAAGTATCAAGCATTCTTTCCTGAAGATTCTCTCACCTCTGCATCAAGTGAGAAAAACAAACTAACAAAGGAACTCCATGCCCTGGCCACTTGCTGAAGCTCACAAGTCATCCTGTCTTTTTTTGTTGTTGTTGTTGTTTTTTGTTTTTTTGCAAAACAAACAAACAAAACCCCCTCAGATATAACTTCATTTTCCCCTTTTTTTAAGTTTAAAATTTATATGGGTTTTTGGCTGATCCAGGATTAAATTATGTTTACTTGCCCCATGTGAGGTTCCCACCTTTGAGCCCAGGAGTTACTGTAGTAACCAGCCTAAAGGAACATTGACCAATCAGAGGGGATATCAAGGCACCAGGATTTGCAGCCTTTATCAGCCACAGGGAAAGAGGAACTCAGTGGGGCTCTCCCCACACGGGAGTCTGTACTTATTCTTCAGTCAATCTCCACCTTTGCTATAAAAAAAGAACACAGGCGGGAACAGCAGGAGGAAGAGACGCATGGGGAGCCCTGGGGAGTATTTGGGGTTCCCATGTCCTCTCCAGGAGCACCGGTCTCCAAACCCCTTCATTTAGGGTTTTTATAGAAGTTCCATTACACAGGCTGGTTGGTTAAGTCATTGGTCATTGGTTGACCAGCTCAGTCTCCAGCCCCTCAACCTCCAAGGAAGTCAGGAGCAGGGAAGAAAGTTCCAAGCTCTAGATAATCACATATTATATATAATCATATATATAATCACATACTCCTCTGGCTACCAGCCCTCATCCTCTAAGAGTCACCTCATTGCGTAAACCAGCTAAGCCTGGAAAGGGCATGTTAATAACAGCAAATGGTTCCAGCTTCCAAGCGACATAGTGAGACCTCCCACCATCGCGGACCGGGCCCAGCGGCATTCCCACCCTCGCTGCCGGCTCAGCCGCCGACCCGCCTCTCGCAGGGGTGGCGCGGCGCGGCATTTTTTGAGCAGGGGGATGTTGCGTCATAAACTCCTAGGTCTCGTGAGCCACACAGAACCAATGAGCGCCGCTGGTGTAGTGGTATCATGCAAGATTCCCATTCTTGCGACCCGGGTTCGATTCCCGGGCGGCGCACTTAATCTTTTTAGTTTTTTTTTTTCTTCCCCCCATCTCAAAAAAGCTGTCGGTGACAGCAGAAATTTCCAGACGAGAGAAAACCGGTGCAAGCACGAACGAGGCCATTTCAGAGTCACAAGTGCTATAAAAATGTTAGGGTAGCCACGGCGACGGAGTGCTGAGCTGAGGAGCACCTACACACCAGCGACCCAAACTCTCCGCCCGAGCCACCGCAGGGGCAGCGGCTCCCTAGGCGCCTCCGGATGATGCGGGCCCTTTAAGCTGTTGCACCGGACCTCTTGGGAACTGTAGTCCGTGGGGGAAGGCTTCGCGGAGGGCGGGCTTCCCGACGGCCTGACTACAACTCCCGGCGGGCCTTGCAGCGGCCGCTCTGGGAGGACCAGCTGTGGCGTCGCGATGCTTTTGGCTGCGGCCGCCGAGCGGAACAAGGAACCAATTTTGCGCGTTCTGCGGCAGTATTTGGACCCGGCTCAGCACGGCGTTCGCGTGCTAGAAGTGGCCTCGGGCTCCGGCCAGCATGCGGCCCACTTCGCGCGGGCCTTCCCCCTTGCAGAGTGGCAGCCGTCTGACGTGGACCAGCGCTGCTTGGACAGGTGCGGGGAAGACGGGACCCCGGGTGATCAAAGTGGGCCTCGCCCTGCCATCCCGGCTTCTCGAGCCAATGTGCCTGCTGTGAGCGCGGTTGCACAGGCCACCCCCACTCACGGGCTGCCCCTCCGACAGCATCTCGGCCACCATTCAAGCCCAGGGATTGTCCAACGTGAAGGCTCCGCTGTACCTGGACGCGACCTGGGGTTGGGAGAAATGGGGCGGGATCCTGCCGCAGTCGCTGGACCTGCTGCTCTGCATCAACATGGCCCATATCAGCCCCCTGAACTGCACCGAGGTCTGTGGGAGCGGAAGCGAGCCACCCCCAGGACCAGTACCTGCCCCAGAGGGCACCCTCACCCCTGCATTGGGTGCCAGGTTTGCCCCATTTCATAAGGCACTGAGGCCTGGGGAGTTCAGGTTGAGCCTCCAACCCCCCAGCCCAGAGCTCTGTTGGAGGCCTGGGTAAAGTTCCTCACTGCCCTCCTGCCTCTCCCTCCTTAGGGCCTCTTCAGAGCAGCAGGACACCTGCTCAAACCCAAGGCGCTGCTCATCACCTATGGGGTGAGTGCTCCTGCAGGGGATGGAATTCCCCTGGCCCTGTGATCCCAACCAGCCTCAGCCGTCCCCTCTTTTCTAGTCTCCTTCCCTCCTGTCTCAAGATTTTCCTTTGCCCTCTCCCCTGCTACCTGCCACCATTGAAACAGGCCCAGACCTTCCCCTGTCTCCCCACACCCCCTAGGCTCATGGGAGCAGGGAGAAGTGTGTCCTTTCACACTTCTCCCAGCCTGGAAGTCTGCCCAGTGGCTGGCTGACCCTGGGGCTGTGGGCAGAGCTGTGTCCCTCTGTCTCCACAGCCCTACGCTGTCAATGGGAAGATCTCTCCCCAGAGTAATGTGGACTTCGACCTGTCGCTCAGATGCAGGTTAGAGCTGGTGGTGCGAGGCCTTACTTGGGAAGACAGGTTAGTTGGGCGACTCCTAACTACCTCTCCCCCCGCAGGAACCCAGAGTGGGGGCTGCGGGACACGGCCTTCTTGGAGGACCTGGGCCGGGCCAACGGCCTTCTCTTGGAGAAGATGGTAGGTGGGAAGGCCTGGGGGACCGGGTGGCCTCCTGGGCAGCTTCTCCAGCCAAAGCAACTCTCCTAGGTGGATATGCCAGCCAACAACAAATGCCTGATTTTCCGGAAAGAGTAACCCTTCTTCCTGCATGCCTATGTCCTCAGTGAGGCCTCTTCTGGGGACAAACCCAGATAGCCAGCCCCTGCCTTCCTGGACCAGGCCATGCAGACTGGCCTTGCCCATTCTGGGGGCTCTCGGTCAGTGGCCACAGGGCTGCAGAGAGCCTGGGAATAAAGTGTTTCCTGCTATCCTATTGCTGGTGCCACTACGCCTCTTCCTGGGAGCACCCTAGACAGGGCTGGGTGTGCAGGCTGTCTCCAAGGGCTCCATTCCTGGGGGCAGGAGAGGCCTGGCCTATGGGGTCAGGGTGTATGGATATCCTAGACCCGGCTGTTCCACTTGCACAGCAGAGAAGGGAGAAGACGGGCTGCTGAGGCAGGACCGAACTGGCTGCATGGCCCTCCTGCCACCAGAGGTGGCAACCACCCCTGGACCTAGTCCTGGCTTGTGCTCTTGGAGGGAGACAGGAGTCTCCCCAGGAGGGAACGAGTGCTCCATGGTGACCGTGGACTAGAGCCTAAACACCAGTGTGGAGGCGGGACCCAGCTGGATTACAGGTTGGATGGGAGAAGGATGGTAACCCTGGGAGGCTCAGCACCAGCAGCCGTGATGTCTCTCCTGGGAAATACTTTTATTGGTGGGGGAGGGTGAGAGGCAGGGACTGGGCGGGCTGGAGGACAGGGCAGGCAGTGCTCTAGGTCGGTGGGGCTAGTCCTGGAAGCGGTTGAGCAGCTCGCAGGCTCTCTTCTCCAGCAGCTCTGAGATCTTCTTGATGCGCTTCTCGCTGGCGATACGGACGTAGCTGCCAGCATCCAGGACAGCCACACCGTCTCGCACTTCCCCCATAATGACCAGCGGACCATCACCTGCTGTCACATTGGGGCAGGGGCAGGCCCAGTCCATGCCACTCAGTGTCACCTCCAGGTACTTGGTGCCCAAGAACCTGAGGCCCATCTTGTCGTCCTTGAGCACATCGTCTAGGGCCACACGGGCAATGCTGCCGCCGCCAGCCTCGGACTCCTCCAGCACTTCGGTGAGTCGCCCTACGATGGCAAAGTCACTGCGGCACAAGCTCAGCGCCAGCTTGCTCCTGAGGCGGCAGGCCCGGCAGGGTGGCATGCGCGGCACGGGGCAGGCATCCTCACAGCTCTCTTGGCTCTCAAAGTTGTTGCTGTTGCCTTCACAGCCACCATACACGAAGGGGTGGCACTGCTGTAGCAGTGGGCTATAGGCCCAGCGTGGCTCCCAGCCTTGGCAGGGGCCCTGCACGGCTGGCAGCACACAGTTATCCCCTGGCCCGCGGGCACAGGCTTGTTGGCACTCCTCATAGGTCTCAAAGCCCTGGGTGCCTCCGTCACAGCTGCTAACTTGGAAGGTCATGCAACCCCCACGCTGTGGATCGAAGTGCCAGAGGACATGGCTGGAGAGGGGGCTGGCACAGGCCTGCGCTTGGGGCAGGCACTCAGCAGGGGCGCTGGGGGCCCCGTCCCTGGCCGGATCCCGCTGGACCACGGAGAGGGGGAAGTCGGCCCGCAGCAGGCCAGCGGAGTTGCGGGCGGTGCAGGTGTAGAGGCCGGCATCCTCAGGCCGGGCGTTGTAGAGCACCAGCTGCCCGATGCTGGTGACCACCACATTGCCATACATCTGGTCTGGCCTCATGATGAGGTTCTCCCGCTGCTCACTCTGCTTCTCCCAGGTCACAGCGGGTGGCGGGCGGCCACTGACATCGCAGTGGAGGCTGGCAGTGCCCCCCACATACACCACCTGTGGGGAAGGGTTGCTGTAGAGGGCAGGTGGCACCGGGGTGTCCCCGGGTGTCGGGCGGGCGGTGGTCTCGGGTGGCCCTGGGCTGCTGGGCGGCCAGGTGAGGATGTGTTTGCAGGGCACGACGTGCAGGTGGAGGCCACGCAGGCAGGCCTCCGCATCCATGTAGCAGCGGTTATAGTAGGTGAGGCCATCTGAGGCACAAGTGAAGCTGGGTTCCTTCTCACAACGGTCACGGCAGCGGCACACAGGCTGCCCGTCCCAGATGTCACAGTCTGAGCCCTGCTGTGGGCATGAGAAGCCCTCGCACGAGGCCACCAGTGCAGGTGTGGCCAGGCCACCCTCAGGGAATCGGGCAGCCACACAGCTCTGCAGCCCACACACGTTGGTGCAGCACTTCTCGGTGGCCAGGCAGTCCTGAAAGGGGGTGGGTGGGTGGGTGGGTGAGGGGGAGCTCAGTAGGCAGCGGAACACTCCCGGCCTCACATGGGGCTCTGGCATTGCTAGGTTGGGGTGCCCTCACTGCAGCCCCCTGAGCCTGTTTTCCCTCTGGAGAGCCACGCAGGCTTGCACAAATTTCCATCCAGTGCTATTACAGTTGCCTCACTGATAAGTCCTGTGTGTCATCTCACTGAATCCTCAGATCCCCACCCTTCAAAGCAGGTTTATTTATTTATTTATTTATTTTTTTTTTTTTTAAATATATTTTATTGATTTTTCACAGAGAGGAGGAGAGAGGGATAGAGAGTTAGAAACATCGATGAGAGAGAATCATCGATTAGCTGCCTCTTGCACACCCCCTACTGGGGATGTGCCCGCAACCACGGTATATGCCCTTGACCGGAATCGAACCCGGGACCTTTCAGTCCGCAGGCCGACGCTCTACCACTGAGCCAAACCAGTCCCGGCCAAAGCAGGTTTAATCATTATTCCCATAGTACAGAAGGAGAAACTGAGGCCCAGGGAGGATGGGCGGCATGCTCAAGGCCGCTTCAGGGGATGCATGGCCAGGCCAGGCTGCAAAGGGGCATCCACACGTGGCCCCTGCCTTTCTCCCTGGCTGGTCCTGAGAACAACCAGCCCCAGGGTCTGATGGGCGATGAGGGTCAAGAGGAATGTTCCTTAAGACCCTCACGGGAGCATGGCCTGAAACCCCGTGGGAGAAGAGTAAGGAGACTCCAAAGGCTGGGTAGGATCTGGGCTCCCCCCGTGCCACCCTAATTCCCTGGGACTCCCATCGGGGTGGTGCCCACACTCACCTGGTCCCCGGTGCACTCGCGCTCACAGGTGCTCTGGGCGTCCACCCACAGGTTTGGGCTGAGCTGGTTGGGGCACACGCCTGAGTGGCTTCTGGGCCCCTGCAGCAGGCTGGCCGCTGAGGTCAGCCCAACCATGAGGAGCAGCAGTAGAAGCAACCTCTGGGCTGACATGGGGACCACTGGCCCGGAGGGTGGGGGTGTGTGGCTGCCAGCCCTTCAGGCCCTGATCCCTTCAGGCATCCACCCTTCCAGGCCTGTGGTCAGCACCCTGACCATGGGCCCCTGACCGATCCTCTGGGCTCCTCGTTGGCTCCCAAGGTCTGAGCCCACAGCAGATGCTCCCTCTAACAGTCTTGTGATTCCAGATCTGAGCTCTGGCAAGACCCCTTCCCAGCCTGGCTCTCTGTGGTTAAGAGGGCAGGGGGCGTGGTGGGGGAGGGGCTGAGGCCCAGGAGCAAGGAGACGCCACCAGGGTAACTGAGGGGCGGAGAAGGGCTGGCTGTGATCAGAGTGGGGAGGGGAGGGAACACTGTAACCGGAGGCCCTCCCCCCTCCAGGCTCTGGGCTCAGGGGATCAAAGCAGCCTCACAGACCCTCCCAGCTTGGATTCAGGACCCAGAAGGAGGGGGAAGGGAGATCAAACACAGGGACCGCCAGAATCTGCCCTCCCAAACCCTTTCCTGGGGTCTGGGGCCCCAGGAGCATCTGCTTTAAGACTGGATGGAAAACGTCCCATGACCCTGCGTCTGACCTTCTGACCCAGGAGGCAGGGTAATAAGAGCCTGGTCTGGTCAGAATGAGACCAAAAGATACCCCAGGTGCAGAGGACGCCATTGATCTGCCCTGGGAGGGGCCCTCAAGCATGGGGGGGCCAGTGGGCCAGACTTTGGACGGGGCTCAAGGCCCAGAACCCTCCCACAAAGCTGCAGCCTGAGGTAATGTGCAGTGAGATGGTCCTGGGCTGGAGTGTGTGTCAGGGGACGGCCCACCGTCTCCACCAAATCCCTGCTCCGTGCCCACTGCCCTCCCAGGCAGCAGTGCACCCGAGTGGTTATGCCCCACCCAAGCCCCAGGGAGGGCTCAGCTTCCCAGGTTCAGGATCCCAGACTCCAGCCTTTGGGGGCAGCGGGGAACAGGTGATCCCCCCAGCCATCTGCTTTATTGCTGCCCAGGGAAGGACAGGCTGGGAGGGCTGCCTGCCTCACCAGAGAAATAGCTCATCCCAGTATCCAGGGAGGCTGGTACAACCACTCTTGACCCCAGGGGCCACGATGTGTACCAGTCAACAAGACTAGTTATAGGGGTGGTGGGATTGACAAAGCAGCCCTGGACCCATCATGTATCCAACTGACCAGCCAGTTAAAACCAGAGACTTTAATTCACATAAAATGTAGCCTGGAGGTCAGAGCTTACATTTACTGTACAAAGAAACAAAAACCGTCCAAAATGATCTCAGGAATGGTGCGAGTGTCAGCAGCAAAGGGTAGTGTTTATGTGGTGAACGCGGGACCGTCCACACCCTCACATCAAAGTCCATGTTATTTGGTTCAGAATACAAAGAAGGGCTCCGTTGGCAGGACAGGACAGGCAGGGCCTCCTCTGCCTGACCCTGCTGGTGGCGAGGCCTTGGGCAGGGCCCCCAGGCACCGCTGCTCACAAGGGCCACAGACCCCTGCCCAACTGCCTCCCAGAACAGCAGGCACAGGGCTCCCTCCACAGAGGAGTCTCAGGGGATCTCAGGCCCAGGGGAGCCCAGCAGGAGGTAGAGTTGAGCACCAGTGTGACTGGTGGTCATGTCACCAGCCAGGCAGGTGGAAGGAATGAAGGCCTCCAGCCCAGGGTTGGCTGCCAGATCACGGAGGAGGTCCACTGCTGTGACTGCTCCAGGTGGCGTCACTAAGAACTGGGTTCTGGTGACATGTGACCTCAAAGAGGGGCGATGCCAGGTGAGGAGCAGCTATGGGGTGATAACCAAGGTCAGGGAACAGAAGCTGGCAAAAGTGGGGTCCAGGCGCCCAGAGGCGAGTGGGCCAAGACTCAGTCCAAAGCTGCAGAGCACCTGGCAACCCCTCAAGTATGCATTGCCCACAGACAGCTCTGCACCTTCACACACGGATGCAGAGTCCATCTCACAGCAACATGTGTAAAAGTGTCTCCACTTCTCTTTTCCCAGAAACATTGACATTCTGCTTGGAGTCCACGGCTCCATGACACATAGGAACATCACCCCACTGTGCAGACTGCCGGGCCCACCCCCGCACCACTGACCAGTACTGTGTGGTAGGCACAACACTCAGAGAGGCGGGCACAGGTAGCGGGGTCCAAGAGTGCTGCCCAGAGCTGCATGTGCCCCCACTGGGCCTTGCACAGTCCACACCCCATGTGAAGTGTGACGGCAGATTCCTTCCCATCTTTGCCTCCGGTTCCACCCTCCAATGTCCCAAAGTTCATCCCCACAAGCAGACATGAGCCCGCCCCATGGCTGCATTAAGGCTTCCCTGTCGGCCCTTTAAAAAGGTATAAAAGTGGTGAAATGTCTTCTATATAAATAAGTGAGCCAGGCCCCACGGGACCCTAGGACAGTTCCCTCGAGGTGGGACCAGGAACAGCATGTGGGGACTTGGGCTTGTTTCGAGGCCCAGCCTCTGCTGTCCTAACAGGGCTCCTCTGGCTGAGACCACCTGCCTACGAGGTGGGCCCCACACTCCCAGGAGGGGTCATGTGGCCAAAGTCTTCCCTGTACATGGTGCCACCCGAGCGCTCAGCAAGGAGCTTCCCCAAGCCTGAGACCTGACTCCCCAAGCACGTCCGGATGGGCGGTGCCTGCCTCCCCTGCTAGGAGATCTTGCAGTTGCTCCTGGAGCAGTTCTGGGGTGGGCTCTGAGGGGGACGAATGGACTTAGACCTCTTGAGGCTGTTGCCCTTGCTGCCGCCACCCCCTGCCCCACTGGCCAGCGAGTAGGAACGCCCATGCATCATCACGGCGTTCATGCCATTGGCCATTGAGAAGGACTTGAGGTGGCTCTTGATGGTGACAGGCAGTGGGAGCTTGTCGATGAGGTGCACGGGAGTGCAGGAGACGATGGCGCGGCAGCAGAGATCCTGCAGGCTGAACACTGCGGGGAGTGGTCAGAGAGGGGGAGTCAGATGACCGGGGTCAAAACAAACCGTAGGGGAAAGGGGTCAGTGGTGGGGGAGGTGTCAGATGGGAAAAGGATCAGATATGACAGGGGCGGGCCATGGAGAGGGTCAGACCATGGGGAGGGTGGTCCGATTATGGGGACGTTCAGAGTGGAAAGACGGTGAGGTGCTCAGAGCCTAAGGGCCTCAGGGGGGAGGACAGGAAGGGACAAGCTGTCATCTGGCCAGATGAGCACAAGTGACACTCACGGGGGATGGAGGTTTCCAAACCAGGACCTTGGATGTTCCATTGCCCTACTTGGTGCCAGGCATCACTGGGTGCAGCCCCTGGATGGCACCCTGCTCCTGCTTTCTCCCTACAGCTGCATACCGAGAAATGTCCTTGGGGACCCCACTTCTTAGGGCTTAGCCAGCTCTGGCCCTAGCACCGCAGGAGACTGAAGCTTCTGGGAACACTAGCTATCCCTGGCAGCTCTGGGTGGCCAGGGCTTGAGCAGCTGAAGGACAGGGAAGTACACAGGATTAAAGTCGTTCCCCTGCTTGCTCTGAGACACGTCACCACCCCCAGCATGAGGGCATCATTGGAATGTAAGGCACGGTCCTCTCCCAAATCTCTGGGACCCCCAAATAAAGCATATGCAGGTGGCAAGTTGGTTTAGTTGCAGCACGTTGTGGAAGTTCTACAACTGGGGAATCTGGACACCTGGGAGGGACCACGACCTCTGAAGGGTCGCCTGTCCACTGCATCTGCACTCGGGTCTCAGGCCCTGGCGGCCCACTAGCCGCACCTCACCTCGGTTGGGCCTCCAGATCTTCTCCATGCCGTGCCGCATGAGCACGATGCGGGACAGCTCAGTGAAGGACTCGGTGACATTGAAGTTGCACAACGGGCTGACCTCAAAGAAGGTCATGCAGTTCTTTTCTGCGTAGGCGCGAGCCTGCTCTGTTGGGACTTGCCGCTTGAAAGCCAGGTGCAGCCGGTTCCCAACCAGGATCCGGGGGACCCCAGGTGCATGCTGGGAGGGCGGGACAGAAGACTCAGCACAAGTATGAACCCGGATGCTCCCCTCTTGGCTGTCCCCATCCCAATTCTATGATGAGGTGGGGCTCAGACCCATGAGCATGGCCTCTTGAGGCAGGAGACCCCGACCTTCAAGTGCCATGGATGCAAGAAAGGACGCACAGAGCTGGGGCCACAAGAGAAGCAGCAAATGGGGGCCACAAAGGCTCTTGTGGGGATGGAAGCACATGTGCCCTAGGGAGGATGACCATGGAAGGGGTTTCCACAGGAGCACACCTACCTCATCAATCTCCTTGATCCACCGGTCAATACCATCAAAGGACCAGCGGTTGGTGATATCATATACCAGGAGGATCCCCTGTAAAGAAGACAAGAATGTCACGAAGATGAGGGGTCGGCCAGATGAAGGCCTCTTGTTTTGGCATGAGCCCCGGCATGGACATGCACCCTTCCTCCTAGGACAGGCAGGGCAGGGACACTTGGCACAGCCAGGTATCTTTCAGGGGATTGTACAGGTTACTGAACACATGGCAGTGTGGAGAATGTACTGTGAGACACCCTGTCATATTTAAGAGGGGTCTCTGGTGTTAGACACTGTGTCTTTTCACCTTGGCCAAGTCCATGTGTCCGTGGACACCCTTATGTGGGGTGGCAGCAATGTCATCCATGGTCAAGGATCTCATAGGCTCAATGCTGCCCTCTCCCTTCCCTTGGGGATTGGCTAGGGCAGAAGTGGCATTTTTTCTTTTTCTTTTTTTTTTTAATATATTTTATTGATTTTTATACAGAGAGAAAGGGAGAGAGATAGAGAGTTAGAAACATCGATGAGAGAGAGTCATCGATCAGCTGCCTCTTGCACACCCCTACTGGGGATATGCCCGCAACCAAGGTACATGCCCTTGACCGGAATCGAACCTGGGACCCTTCAGTCCCCAAGCTGATGCTCTATCCATTGAGCCAAACCGGTCCCAGCAGAAGTGGCATTTTTTCAACTCCTTTCCTCCAAGTACACAGGAGGCACCATCCTGTGACCATTTGAAAGTCATGGGAGCTAAAGCAGATGCATGCAGATCTACAGTGTGGGGTAGGCCCTGTGGATAACCCTGGTAGGCAGATGTGGACGACTTGCCTGACACTCTTAACCGTGTACTCTTCCCTGGGGCCCCAGGAGAGCTGAGCAAAGGTGTTCCTGAGTTTTCCAGCCCAAACCTGCAGAGCAGGACATCAGTTACTCCAGCAGCTGCATGTGCAGCTCCACTGGCCAGCAGAGGGCTTGCTACAGACTTTTCTGTCACATCCCTCAGAGACTAATTACTCAGAGCTCAGCTCTAGGCTGTCCCCATCTGCTCGGAATGTCTCAGCAGTGACCTGTCAGAGGCCTTAGGAAAGTGACTCCAGAGAGTGCCCCAGACCTGCACACCAGCCATCTGGAACAGGCTCTGGAGCAGGCTGACAAACCCTCCCTGCCCCACCATGTCTTCACTGAGCCTATGTTCCCAACACAGAGTCAGGAAAAAAGTGCAGCTGAGATGGAAGGCACAGGATTTTTCCATCTCAAAATGAGTGATTTTAAAGCCTTTCTCCTTAAAAATGTTCTTCAAATTTTGGAAGAATGAAACGTAGCCCCCAGGTCCTGTTAAGAGGAATGTAGAAATTACTGAATACCCACCCAGTGGCCCTCTGGACAGAAAACTTCATATAGAACAAACAGAGCTGCCTATCTCCCCAGGAGGAAGAGCTATGATTAGAAGGAAAGACCCCCTACCTGGAGCCCACCTGAACAAACCATTTGACGGGACAGAGAATAACACTGGAAGGGAACCATGGGGTAGCAGGAGGGAGTCCTGCTGCTCGGGGAGCAGGGAACAAAGCCCTCTGGTCTGGGGTTGGATGGAGACGTGCCATCGACCCTCCAAATCTCCTAAGAAATGACAGAGAACGTGTCCAAAGATCAGCCTCACAGATGTTCAGCACAGCACGGCACACTGCATATGCAGAGGGGGCTGCTGAATAAGTTGAGGTCCATACATGCTGATCCTGGGCAGGTGCACAACAGGCAGCACAGTGAGAAGCACGATCCCAAATAATGTGTATAATATGGTGTTTGTTTTTTGTTAATCCTCTTCTGAGGATGTTCTTTCCATTGACTTTTTTCAAGAGAATAGGAGGGGAGGTAGGGGAGAGAGAGAAAGATACAATGTAAGAGAGATACATCTATTGGTTGCCTCTTGCATGAACCCCAACAAGGGCCTGCAACCCAAATATGTGCCCCTGACCAGATTGGAGCCTGCTACCTTTCAGTGCATAGGCTGATGCTCTATCCAACGAACCACACTGGCCAGGCCAGTATGGTATTTTAAAATAGAAATATAAATATAGAACACACCACACAGAAAATGTTTCCTAGGATGTAACCACATTTTGAAAAGCTGGATGAGGGCTTATCCTCTTGCTTTTCCTTATTTATTTATTTTAAAGTTCCTTAAAAAAAAAAAAAAAAAAAAAAAAAAAAAAAAAATATATATATATATATATATATATATATATATAGTTGATTTTTACAGAGAGGAAGGAAGAGGGATAGAGAGCTAGAAATGTCGATGAGAGAGAAACATCACCCAATTGCCTCGTGCACACCCCCTCTGGGGATGTGCCCTCAGCCAAGGTACATGCCCTTGACTGGAATCGAACCAGGGACCCTTCAGTCTGCAGGCCGATGCTCTATCCCTGGGCCAAACCGGTTTTGGTGCTTTTGCATAACATTGAAAAGCTTAAATTTATATAACATTTATATAACATTGAAAAGCTTAAACTAGCTTGGCCGGTAGCTCAGTGGTTAGAGCATCAACTCACACACTGCAGGGTCCCAGGTTCAAGGGGTACATGTTTGAATTGCAGATTTGATCTCTGGCTCTGGTCAGGGTACCTGTAGGAGGCAAACAATTGATGTCTCTCTCTCATATTGATGTCTCTCTCTCCCTTCCTTCTACTCTCTCTCTAAAAATAAAAAAATAAAATAAAAATAAAAATCCTCAGGTGAGGCTTAACAAAAAACCACAAAAATTCAATCCAATTTTGGCATGTGTCATGCATTTGTATGGTGGAGCTCCCAAGGAACTCAGGCTGCAAGTGGAAGCCTTTGCCCCAGCCCCACAGCACTTAGGCTCTGCCCAGAAGTAAGTGATGCACTGACAATGAGGAGCAACTGTTCAATGGTCCCTAAGCCATATGCCCACCCACCTGATCGGTCCTAACCGCACTCACTGAATGGTTAAGTGCACACCTCACACCTTGAAACCCCTTTTTGTGTGGACAAACTGATCTCTCTCCAGAAGGAGACCTGCTCTTCCAGCTGACCCCAAACCCTCAACTAAACAGGACACCCACCCCACCCCCTATCTCCAGCTCTTAGCACACTGCACCCAGGGGACCTGCTCTCTTCAGCAGCAGAGGCACTAGCTTCCCAGGGCCATGAGTGGCCACATCAGATCTCGGCAACACAAAACAAGAGTCATGCATATAGGAGGTCAGTGACAGAAAGGGTATTTCTTGTCCAGCTGGTGGTCCTCAGTGGTTGAGCCAATGAACCAGGAGGTACGGTTTGATTCCCTTCCTGATCAGGGCACAAGCCTGGGTTGCAGGCTTGATCCCCAGTAGGAGATGTTCAGAAGGCAGCTGATCAATGATTCTCTCTCATCATTGATGTTTTTCTCCCCCCCGCCTTCCCTTCCTCTCTGAAATTAAAATAAATAAATAAAAACTTTAAAGAAAGTTTACTTCTGGCCGAAACCAGTTTGGCTCAATGGATAGAGCGTCGGCTTGGGGACTGGAGAGTCCCAGGTTCGATTCCGGTCAAGGGCATGTACCTTGGTTGCGGGCATATCCCCAGTAGGGGGTGTGCAAGAGGCAGCTGATCGATGACTCTCTCTCATCGATGTTTCTAGCTCTCTATCTCTCTCTCTTCCTCTCTGTACAAAATCAATAAAAATCTATTTAAAAAAAAAAAAAGTTTACTTCTCATGGTAAGAACTACAAGACAGCCGAAGCTGTTTGGCTCAGCGGTAGAGCGTCGGTCTGCGGACTGAAGGGTCCCGGGTTCGATTCCGGTCGAGGGCATGTACATTGGTTGCAGGTGCATCCCCGGTAGGGGATGTGCAAGAGGCAGCTGGTTGATGTTTCTCTCTCATCGACGTTTCTAGCTCTCTATCTCTCTCCCTTTCTCTCTGTTAAAAATCAATAAAATATATTAAAAAAAAAAAAAAAGAACTACAAGACAGTCCAGTTGCAGAACAGATGACAGCAGTCAGGTTGGTGGTGGCTTTTGTAATGTGGGCCCTGAGGTCTCTCCAGTCTTAACCAAGGGTGGGAAAGTGACTGGAAATATAAAACCTGACTGGGAAAGATGGTCCTGCAACTCAATGTACCATCAGGGGCCACACAGCAGCAAAGCCAGGAGGTCTACTCTGGATGCTGCCTTCACTTCTGTGCTGCCATCATCAGGCAGGACGGAAACGGGACAGGGCAGAACAGGCCATGCAGTAAGAGCACAGGAGGGCAGAGTTGAGCTCAGAACCCACCAATCACCACTCAGGCCCGAAATGTGCAATTGGCTCCTTCAGCCCAGAACTGACAAGAACCTCCAGAATTAAAGCAAGAGCAACAAGAAATACACAACCAACTGGACTGGATGCTTTGGAGAGAACCGAAAGTGACTCAGTGTTTGCTTCCATGAAACACTGTATATTCTGGCAAATGCCCGAGGTTGTTGGGTGTCCTCAATTAGCTGAACAGAAACAAGTGTCTTCAGACTGTCCCACATTCATAGTCAGAGTGCGCAGATCCAATGAGCCCTCTCAGGTTTAATCTCAGTGCCTTTCTGAGGTTTCCCAACTGCCCTTCATTATCACAACCCAAGAACTACTCTTATCCTTTCATTTTCTTTTTTATTTCAAAAGTAGTATGTGTTTATTGCAGACAATTAGGAGATGCTCAAAAGCAGAAGGCAGACAACAGGACTCAGCCATCCCGCCATTCAGGCTAATAGCACCTTTGGAACACAGCTTTCTCATCTTCTTGTCTGTATAAAATTACACATGCAGTCACTTCTTTAAAAAAGGAAAGGGACCCGTGGGATGCATTCATCTGAAGGGCACTGGGTTCCGCAGGCAATTCTAGCCATTCAACCTCGCCTCTGGTGCTAACTAACGTCCCCGCGCTGTGATCCGCACCTTGATTACCTACGATTAGCTGCTCCAGGGGGAACTGCTAGATGAAGCACCACCCCTACAGGCCCAACACCACGCGAAGGGGCCATCAAGCTAAGGCTCCAGGTGCTGTCACCCACACCTCTGCAGATGCTTCCAGGAAAAGTGCTGCCAAGCCCAGCCTGGGAGTCCTCGGCACCCCCATTGAGGAGAGAAGAAGGCCACATCCAGATTCTCCCACCTCCCACCATGTCTAAAAGGCCCTTACTGAGGAAGGCCCTGGAGGAAGGCACAGGTCGGGGGTCCCTAACAAATCTAAGCAGATTCGGCCAGACCCTGCCACAGACTTCTCTCCCTCTCAGCTTCCTCGGGTCTCATGCAGCAGCAAGATCAGCAGGAGTGCAGAGTGCCAAATAGGCAGTCTTCATCCATTCTGACTAACAAAGCTAAAAAGACATCCCATGATGCTCCCCGAGCTCAAGCCAGAGTGAGGGGGTGACAGGAAGCCCCTGCTTCTGCTGAGTGCAGACCCACCTGGAGTTCATGCCCCCAAACCCGCCCAAGTGTCCCCTCTCACAGGAGCGCTGCTCCCATGGAGGACCCTGCCTGGTGTGTAGAGCAGGTTTGAACTTGGGGGTCTCCTTGGTAATTCCAGAAATCTGTGGGGGTGGGTCATGGCCTGCTCTGGATTACAGACCAGACTGATCAGAATCCTCACTGTCACAGCAGCAACAGCCTTTCATTGGCCGGTTCTTGCAACCGCTTTTCCCTCTCCTTAGAACACGGTTGGGGAGTCCAGAGGATAAGCGAGCCCCCACATCCCCCTCCCCCCCCAGAATGCCCCTGTACAGCTCTCAGGGTGCCCTCGCAACCCTGTACACTAACCCAAACTTGGGTATACTTCCATGGCAGCCCCCGGATAGCCCCCGTCTCCTGCTCTTCACTAACACCCTCCTCTATGAGCAGTGCGTCCCAGAGTGGCTCCAAAGCTCAGTCCCCACAGTCCTGATCAGGAACACAGCCCAGCCCGCCTGGGAGCCCTAGCCCTGTGAGGGACCTGGCTGCCCCAGCAGCCTCCTCGCTTCAGGGTGACAGGGAAGTCACTTTTGATTCCTTGTGAACCAGGTGACTAAGTGGAGTCTCCACAGAATTGGGTGGAAACTCAGAGTAGGAAGGGGGGGGAGGGGAGGGACGGGACCTAGTGCCTTCTGACAGCTGAGGCTCCTCTCTCAATGGGCAGCCTAGTGGAAGCCTGATGTCCCAACATAAAAACTTGTTAAGAGTCACACACATGGGGTCCCTCTGGAGAGCAATGCCGGCAGTATGCTGATCTTACCTGTGCGCCCCTGGAGTAGGACCTGAAGATGGTGCAGAACCTGCCTTGGCCCGACGTGTCCCTGAAACACAGGGGGAGTCAGTGGGATGTGTCCTGTGGGACCTTGGCATGCGCAGCGTGATCCCTACAAAGTGCTCTCCTGCCCCCTCCACAGCTTACACTGGCCAACCTCGTGGGCCTGAGTGCTCTAGGACAGCTGTCACCAGCCTTTCGGACCTCATGGACTACCGGTTGGAGACCGCTGCTCTAGGAGACCACCGTGCCAGGCTGGAGAATCCCACACCTATGGGAATTCACATCTCAACTTCAAGGCTCTGGAAAATGTACAGCCCAGTAAGAGGAACGAAGGGAGGCGGTGGCTAATGTGGAAATGAGTATGGGTAAAGGGAGCCGGGCTCTATCAGAACAAATAGCACTTAGCAGAATCCATTCCATGTTTACACAGGACCTCTGTAACAGCTATTCCACTTAAAATGTTAACAGGACTCCTTCCTTCCTGCTCCTTTAAGGATTCTTGACTGACTTCATTTAGCTTGTGAGGCTCCAGCTAAAACTCTGAAGTGCTGTCCCCCAGCCCCAGGCACCGCAGTCACACGCAGCCCGACTCACCAGAGCTCCAGTTTGACCCGCCGGCCATCCAGCAGGATGGTAGTCGTCTTGTAGTCGATCCCTGCAAGAAAGAAAAGGGCGGCTGAAGGGGACGCCTGGAGAGGAGCCTGCCAGGATCCGCCTTGCCAGCACTCAGTCTACAGGCTGGTGGAGTCAGTCACGGAGGAACAGACTAACACCAGTTGGAGCCTTCTTGTGGCTCCAGCCCAGGGACCCAGACGTGCTGGGCTCTGCTGCGCCAAAGGGAGGATGCACAGGAGCAGAGCTCAGCAGGCCTGCAGGAGGACGGCTCATCTCCAGCTGACCTACTTTATGTGGATCTCAAGTAGAGAAATTTCCGAGTTCTTGGATTCACCATAGCCCCTAAGTACTGACAATCAGAGTGTGTCTAGAATATTATTAAGGGTAAAGTAATTTCTAAATCCATTTCTCTGGAGAGCTCTCTGCAGAACCTATGCATGCCATATTGTTAGCTTTTAATATTTTTACTTTTATGGGAAAAAAATCAGTCCAAGAGAAGTTGGTAGGATCAGGGACAGTGCTGGACATGTTACATTACATGTAAGATCTTCAACTGATTTCATGTTATGTATATTTTACCACAATAGTTTTTAAAGTGAGAGGAGATTCTCTGGCACATATTTTCATGTGAAAGAACTATTCGTCAGGAAGAAACAAAACTCAGGCTTGCCTCCACCGTACCGTCTCAGCATTTGCCCTTCCCCCAGCTCTCATCTCCTGATAACCAGATTCCCTGGGTGGAAGCTCCTGGAATTCTGTCAAACAGGAAAGACAGATTTGGCCAGGACTTGCCTCCTCTCAATCCTGTCTCCACAGCTTCTGTGAGATGGACCCCATGAGGGTAATTTCCAGGAAGGCTGGGTGTGGGTGCCCATCTTCTAGGCAATATCAGATCTGCCTCCCCGTGGCAAACCAGCCACACAGGCTCAGAACTCAGGAGGGACAAGGTGCAGGGAGAAGGCTCCTATACTCCACCCACCTCTGGGCTCCCTCCCACATCCAGCACTTTGCAGACCCATGTACCTGAGTTCCACCCAAGACATCAGGTCATTAATTGTGGTCTGGGTCAGAAAGGACACCCATCCCTGCTCTCCAGCAGGTCTGCTCAACACTGCCACACACACACATGGGACCAGTGGGGACAGTTACTCAGAGTGGTACAAGGAGGGGCCACTGTCCTCTCAACACCCCTTCTGCTGCAGAGCTACCCACCTACACTGGGTCAGAGGGCTCATTAGAGAACAAGACTCTCAGGGAACACAGCAGAGGAAAAGCTGAAGTTGTTTGATGGCTGAGCAACACCATTAAAGTGATTTGGTCTCAGAGTGACTGTGCTCTCTGGAGCCCTCTGGTGCCAGCCTGGGCCTCTAAGGAAAGGCGGCCTCCATGCCTGGCTCCAGCATGCACACTCCCAGGAAGGCTGAGCACCGGTGTGAGTAAAGTGGGCAGCAAGTCCCTATATAGTGGAGAGCATGGTCCAGCTGAGAGCTTAGGACTACCCGGGAGCCAAGAAGTCAAAGTGTGGTGGGGCAGGTAGGGGAGGAAGGGGAGAAGGAGATGGTATGCATGGAGAACTCCTCGGCTCACACACTCACTTGGATATTGAAAATTAAAATTTAAGTATATTCTTCAAGCTTATTCTGTCCCCCACCCGCCACACCCAAATCTGGATAAAAAATAACTGTGTGCTGTATAAATTAATAGAAAATATAAATATAGCAAGTCCACAGAGAGAGGCAGGTAGGAAGACAGAATCTCCCTGCTTTAAACAAAGATAGGTGCCAACCAAACTTCAGCTCTGACAATTCTTTAGTTTGAAGATTTGTTGCTGAAGAATTTCAATCACCCACTTTGAAAAACAATGACCAGAGGCTTCATTCAAAACATTTAATCCTGCCCTGGCCGGCATGGCTGTGGGTTGAGTGTCATTCCACACACCAAGAAATAACAGGTTAATTTCCCAGTCAGGGCAGTCACCCAGAAAACAGTATGCCCCAATAGGGGGCATGCAAGAGGCAGTGAATGCTATTTCTCTTTCTCTTCCTTCCTCTGTCTAAAATCAATAAAGACATAGTTGAAAAAAATTGAATTCCCTGTACAGCACAGGCATGACCATTGAGAACAGAATCAGCTATGGGCACTAGAACCACTGCTGGTGCACAGGGGTGAGCAGGCTTCTTGGGGACGGAAGCAGCTCACACAAGGGATGCCGAGGTCTCAGACCCTAGGACTGCAGACACTCCCTGGATGGACACGGGAGGCCACCAGCAGGTGACCAGAGGTTCTTAGGGGAAAAGAGTGCGGTTCTGATTCCTAGCCCTTCTCATATGACCTTCTTACTATGAAAGCTTTCAGGGCTTTATCTGTCCAGTGTTCTGGGGGTATTTTTCACTCTCTGTGCAGGGAACCCAGGAGCCATTCAGGTCCCCAGTTCACCCCTCTAACTACATGCTCCTCTGTCCTGTCCCACATCCTGGCCTCCCATTAGCCAGAGAGTGACACCTGGGCTAATGGTCAGTTTTCTCCTCTATTCCTCCATCGTTATCATTTTGTTCAACTTTCTGGAAAATGCCTTCAATTTAATCTTCCAGCCCTTCTAAGATATTTTTTAAAATTCTGTTATTTTAAATTTGATTTTAAAAGCTTTCTGGTTTTCTGGAATGTTCTTTTCTAAGGGCATCCTTGGATGCAGCATTCTGGATGTTCCTTGGATGCAGTAATTCTTTATGTCAGACAACATTAATTATAAGGTTAAGGTTCTCGAATGTCTTCCTCCCCTGTGGTGGCCCTTGGCTGTCCATTCACTCCTCAGAGATCCTAAAAACCTGTAGGAGCCCTGGCTGGTGTGGCTCAGTTGGTTGGAGTGTCGTCCCATGAAGGTTTGATTCCTGGTCAGGGCACATGCCCAGGTTACAAGTTCAATCCCTGGTTGGGCTGTGTACCGGAAGCAACCGATCAATGTTTCCCTCTCACAATGATGTTTCTCTCTCTCTGAAATCAATAAAAACATATACTCGGGTGAGGATTAAAAACCCATGGGAAGTTCTAAGTGACTCTGTCTTGTGACCTGGGCTTACAATACTAGTAAAGCTGCCAGGAACCTTGAGGAGTATGGCGCTCATGTCTCTTTGACTGATGTCTGCTGCCACAAGGCTCCTACCTGAGCACTGAGGATGAGGGGCAGCCAGGGTCTCCTCATTTGGAATGGACTTACACTTGGCTACCACCGTGCCTGACTCTCTCAGATGGTAGACCTTTGTGTCCTTGCTGTGGGCTACCCAACCATTCACCCCCTGCCCTTATTTCAGCCTGTCCTCCTTGTGTTGAGTTCAGAGGGGCCTGCAGACAGGGGGTGCAAGGTCCAGAGCTAAGGATCCATGCTGGCCCCTCACAGCCCAGGCCTTAGCTCTCTGCACTCAACTGTGACAATGGCACCTGCTTCCCAAATTGTCAACTTCTCTCACCTGATGGCAAGTTTTTAAGAATGCATTTTCTATTGTTTAATGGGGTTTCTGAAGGGAATGAATACCTGACATGAATTACTTTCTGAATTTCTATTATACAGCAGGCATTGTTCCAGGAGCTAATGGACTCATGATGCCAAGCTGCCCTGTGCCATGTTTTTCAGGGCTGCCACCACCTTGCAAATCACAGGAGACAGGGTTTTGTTCATAAATTTACGAGAGAAGAGAAGTCTCATCACCTATAGTGACACCCACACCAGGTACACTGTAACTGTCATCTTCTCAGCATTTAGCACAACTGTGTCCAAGCACTGAACTACTGAAATACAAATGACTTACAACACCTTGCACCCTTTCTTTCCCTTTTATATTACAGGTATATGTATATGTGCACGTCTACTTTAGTTTTAAATAGAAGTAGAATACATTATTTATGAATTTCATTTCTTTTAAGAACAGTAAAGGGGATGCTGCAACACAGTGGGCCAGAAGGACATGCCTGGGCTCAGTACGGCACATGCTGGCACCCTCCCACACCATGTCCCTGCATCACTGGCCTCATGTCCCAGTGACATCCCTCATGACCCTATTTGTCCCTTGACAACAGCCAAGGCAGGGAGGAGCACAAAGCAGATCACTGGCTCCAGAAAAATGCTGACGGAGGCTGAAGTTGCAGGAACATTATAATTATCTGTCTGCTGACTGCTGTCCTTCGAAGAGGTATTTCAAAGTACAAATTCAGAGAAAGGAGGTGGAGGAGGAAGGAGGAATGGTACAAAAATTATCATTAAAGTCTCAATTTTCTAGAAAGTTGCTTTATTTTCTGACAGTCACCCTTGACCTGGTGATTAGGAGAGTTCCCCAGGGCAGCCCTCCTGCTCACTGAGACCCACTCATCAGGAGCTGTAAGCAGAGTCGTGGGGAGGCATGGGAAGAAGGCTTTGGGCTGGGTGGCACTGACAAACAGTACATCAGCTCTGTCTTCACCCGCCCTCCCATACTCCAGACCGGGACACAGACCACCTGAGTGGGACATCCATGGTCATGTGGCCAGACTATAAAGAATAATCTGCACAATCCACTCTTCTCCGGCCAGCTGGTCTGCACAGCACAGCAGCCACTCTGCTGGCTGAAGTCAAGGCACAGTGTTCCACCAGTCTTGAGACAGAGTAGGCTAGAAGTCACAATTTCCTCCTCCACGTCCCTTCCTTTAGATGTTCACAATACTCGCATATCTGTTAGCACTGACACAGGATACCAGACCCCAAGTAAACCCACCCCGACTAAAGTCCTAGGAAATTACAAGGTAATCAGGGCAAGGGAACAAAGACACATGAACAAGAATCAAAAAATTCTCAGAGGTCTGCTCAACTGCCTGAGATCCACCCTCAGCTTTGTTCTGGGTGCATAAATCAAGATTGCTGGATATTTTAAAGTTCAATTTTCTACTGTTCAGAGAGAGCAGGGACTGGTCAGAATGAGGACCACTATTACAACTTAGCAGTCCTCCAGGTGAGGGCACTTCCCACAAACCTGCCCAGATTCCACCTGGACCAAAGTGGAGGGAGCAGGCGAG